CGCTCCGAATTTTGCTGAGCTTTATATGCTTTCAAATTCTGTGTAGAATTGCGCGCCATCTTTTCAGCCAAGGTAAGACGGAAATCAATTTGTATAGGTAATCACATGATTTCGAGTGCAATTTGGAATAAATAAGCACGAGTAAATTTTTTCAAAGACTAACAAAATTGCATGAGCCCGTAGGGCGAGTGCAATTTGTGGTCTTTGAAAAAATTTACAAGTGCTTATTTATTCCAAATTGCACGAGAAAATCATGTGATTATCTATTAATAATATACATGAAAAAATACGAGGTAGCTTCTCATAACTACGCAGAAGAAAAGCGCGCGCATCACGTGCAAAAATAATTTATTCAAACCCTGCAAGTGACATTGACCTTGACATTGACATTGACCAATCATTCTGACCAATCAGAATGTCTGGTTTGTTTCTTTCTTTGCACTGAATTAACCCTCTTCTGCACTGAATTAACTCTCTTCTGCACTGAATTAACTCTCTTCTGCACTGAATTAACTGAAAACTGCATTCATCTTAACCAATCAGAACTGAGAAATTTTTTCATGTATATTATTAGGTCTGAAATCATACCCGTGATTTCAAAATCAAACGAGCGCGCACAAGCATTGCGGAGAATGCCGCGACACGTCCGGGTAATGCTGCTTGGTAGGACCCTTTAGCTTCATTGCAAGTCTAAACTATGGCTGAGAAACTTATTTCTTGGCGCTTGTGTGTCTAAAGATATTCGGCAAAGATTTTCAAAGCCATATCGAGTTTTTCCCATTGTATGTGCGGCTAAGGGTAAATTTCTTTACAATAAAGGATACTCCTCCTTTCACTTATGCTTTGATAAATCAATGTAGAGTTCTGATTCACTGAACTACCTGATTAAAAATGAGTTATACCGTAAAATCGCAAAGCCTTAGGTCATCCCTTGAAATCTTATTTCTGCGAAGTTCCTTTCACATCAATCAAACAATCTCCTCCGGTAGATGATTTTTTTTTTACTTTCTGCCTGAAAGTGCATTATTATTGTTAGTAAAAGTTCTATTTTTAAAGGAGAACTTTTCTGACTCACATAAACACCGCGCGAAGCTATAAAACTTGTAAAGCTAGAATGCTCTTACCTTTCGGTGGACTATGGGATTCTTTTTTTATATATATATTTATATTAAAGCTCCTCTAACGTATGATTAAGAGTACTTTTAACAAAATTTAATAGAAAAAGGAAAAAAATGTTTTTTCTCCTGCTCATTTGCTATGTTGCACGACACAGCCATAAATATTGAGTAAAAATTATAGAAAGATATATCAAAAAGCCAAGGAAAACTAAGGAAGAACAAAAATAACAGCGAATTGACTGAAGAAACCTAACGATGCACTCTCGAGCACCAAAAGACACGGTTCTACACTTTAATATGATGCAATAGAATAGTGCAAGTTAAGCGATGCAAATTCTGATTCATCAGTATCTCTAGACAAAATGAGTCTCTTCGACATGTATGAACATGAAATTCATTTATTTAGTTTTAACTACCAAGTAGAATAGCTGTTCAGTGTTCCATCACTCAGGGTTGTTAAGACTTGATCTGACCCGAGAAAATCTCTTCCAGTGTTGGTTGCGAACGTACGCAATCGTAACTGTCTCGTAAAGGTTGTTGAGGGAAAAAGTCTGGAAAAAATGCTTTAGCTGCTGTGATGTCTTTCTTATGCAAATTGATCACCGTGTGGTGTTTCATCGGTGGTAAGGTAGTTCCGAATGAAACATTAGACCTTC